ACTATGACCAGTTTTGAACTATTGAAGATTCGTGGCTTTGTTGCCTTCTTCACATCTTCAATAGTAAGGCCTTTCTTAAAGACCACACTCATACCCTTGATCACCATCTTGTATTTAGGATCCCACAACCTACAATTGTACTTCTTCATCAAAGTACCCTAAGAAGACGCATATGAGTGTTTTCTTATTCAACTTGGATCTTTGTTACTTAAGGACATGCACCAGTGCCTCGCACACCATCAACTATGAATAAGAGATATTCTTTTCAGTCCAAACTCTCTCCGGGATCTGGCCATCTAGAGGAAGCAATGAGGATCGATTTATTAGGCAGTATACTTTGAGGACTGCTTCACCCGAATACAGTGTGGTGGTAGATAACATGTTCATAACTCTGAGACACTTTAGTAGCGTGCGTGTCTCATTTTCCACATTAGCGTAGAAATCCTAAAAGATATCAAACACTTGATCTTTTGATTTCACCCATACATTTCTTGAAGCATCATCAATGAAGGTGATGAGGTATTATGCTCCACCAAATAACTTGACATACAGGGGACCACACACACCTGAATCCATCAAATCCAGGATTTCCTTAGAGCCCTTACTTGAGAAAGAGACTCTATGATGTTTGTCAAGCAAACAATGGTCACATAGGGTTAGAGATGCATACATCTCCTTAACCTACAATCCTTGCGAAACTGTTTTTCCCCATCTTTACATAGTCAAAATCTTTTGCTCTATAAAAAGAAAAATAACGTCTTTGTGTAATAACATGAAACAGTACTCTGGTATCCACAACCTTGTCTGACATACATGAAGTAATATTAATGCATCCTTCACCACAATTTTTTACTACACCAACATATGTAGTCACTGCAATGGTTTCCCTACCATCATTCTTACTATTGTCCTCATTCCGGTCATTCTTGAGCTTTCAAAAATCTTTCTTGATGTGCCCTTCCTTGCCATGTGAACCCCTTTCTCGTTTTCGATTGGTTTTGGTCCCCATTCATAGACCTTCCGCAATTTGTGATAAAGGCATGCGAGTTCAGTGTATTAGAGAATTTTCTTCTCATCTCCTCATTCAGTATACTGCTAGTGACCTGACTCATGATCACTCTCCCATCAGGTGCTTAGTTACTTAATGAGACTACCAGGGTCTCCCAACTATCCGTTAGTGAACCGAGCAAAAATAGAGCATGTAGCTGATCTTCTAGGAACAACGTCATCATTGCGAGTTGGTTAACAATACTTTGAACCTCATTCAGGTACTCTACAATGGATTCCCCATCCGTTAACTTCATGTTTACTAATTTCCAAATCAAGAACGCCTTATTTTCAGTGGTCTACCTCTCGTACAAATCATATAGCTTATCCCATAATGACTTCAAGGATATCTCTATCGACACATGGTGGAATACATTTTCTTCCAACCATTGTCGGATAGTTCCAGGAGCCTTTAGACCTAGTCTCTTCTACTCATCATCCGTCATACCTTTGGGCATGCATTCTACCCTTCCAATGGGTGTGTACAAGTCCCTACAATATAGTAGATCTTCTATATTTGGATTCTAGATGATTCAGTTATTCCGATTAAGCGATATCATCCTGCTCCCCATACTAGAATCCATCTTAAATCCACACACTATTTTTCACACCCCTTTTAGCTATTCACCCTCTGCTAAGCTTACCCATTGTCTGTTAAGCTTATCCACTGTATGTTAAGTTATCCCCTGTTGGTTAAACTGTCCCCTGTCGGTTAAGCTATCCCCCGTCAGTTAATCTATCTACCATTGGTTAAACTATCCCTCGTAGGTTAAGCTATCCCCCATCGGTTAAGCATAAACCTCGTCAGTTAAACCTATACCACATCGATTAAGCTTATAACTAGGTATCAAAGTTAGGGGCACAACCCAAGAGCAATGACTATGATGAAAGAGAGGGATTAACAGAAAACCATTGAACCTTGTCCCAGTTGTGAGCATATGCTCAAGAGTCAGATAGGCCACAGAAACTTGCTCTAACTATGTGTGTGTATGATGGGAAAAACATATAAATTAAAGCAAATAACTTACTGGCATTGAGATTTTACGTGGTTCACCTTTTAAGACTATATCATAGGAGAAAGAGAAAAATCCATAATACTCAATGGTTACAATAGTCTTCTAAGAAACAAACTTTCTTGGGATCACTGACTTCTTCTAGAGACTTATCTCTCTAGGTTTTCTTCTTTAAGGTTATTTTCTCTCTCAGCTGATTCTTTTATTTCTGGAGGCTTTTTTTTTCTCTAAAAAAAAAGGTTCTCTTTTTCTTCTCTTCTCTCTTTTTTCGTTTTCTACAAAGAAAATGCTTAATAAGAGAATCACTAGCTCTCTTTCATCTTTTTCTACTCTCTAAGAAGAACGGTAACTTTCTCTCTCTTCTTCTTCTCTGTCAAAGAATGATAACTCTCTCTCTCTCTTCTTGTTATGACTCTTGACTTGATGCTTAATAATATAACTCAACAACCCAACCCAATTTACTACTCAAACATAAGCACATGCTTATATGACTCTTGACTTGATGCTTATTTTTAACACCTTGTTTCATTGCTAAGTTATTCCAGCATCTTTCATGCCCAAGATTTGCTTGAATTTTATTAGTTTTGCTTGATTCAATGCTTTAGTGAGGATATTATATGCTTCTTCATTCATAAGAATATATATTAAATTATCTCCTTGCTTGACGCCTCCTTACAAATATAGTGATAGGATACCTTAATGTGCTTCGTGCATGCATGAAAAGACTAGATTTGATGCTAGCATGATCAAATTAATATTGTCTATGTGAATTGGAATACTATAGCCATTGGAAAGGTGTTTTGTAGTTCTATTGGGCATTTGCATCGTTACGTTTCTTTTGCCTTCCATTTCTAGAGTGGTGTTTTACCTTGACAAGACTCTTAGCATGTCCTTTTGGTTCATATGATTTGGATATGTTGAATATATGTACCATTGGTCTTGCCTCTCTTGCCCATGGATTCTTCATTATTTTCGGGCCTTCCCGAACTATGATATTTTCCTCTACTATGACACCTTCCATGAGTATTAGTAAGTAAGGCTTCATTCCAGTCTTCTACTTTTATTATGATAATTGTTTGATTCCAATTGCTTTCTTTCAAGAAATGCTTCCTATCGGAATAATAAGCTTATGGCTTCTTCCATGGGCAGCTTGGATTTTTGAATCATTGTACTTAGTGCATCAAACTCGTTCCTTGGATTTTTCCGAGATGATGGCAAATCAGGTGTCTTTCTCTATCTTCATCCCTATTCCTTCCAAGTAATCACAAAGGTCCTTCATTTTCAGACAAAATTCTATGATGGAGCAATTACCTAGTGTACATTCTGCTTTCAAGAATACCTTTTCAACACCAAATGCTTGTTCATGCACAGTGGCAAATTAATCATAGGCTTCTTTTCATGTTTCTACATTCCTCAACGGTAACATATCTAGCATACAAGAGATCTGAGTCCTTGACATTCTGTTTCTTTTATGATATAAAAAATTAACTACAAACAAAAATTGAAGATCAAAAAGAAAAAATAACCTCTAATCACTGAGTCTCGAGTCTCGAGTATGTGCAGAAGCTTTCAAGAGTTGATGGGCATGGTTTGATTCGTGCACATATAAAAATTAGAGTAGAGAGAGAATTTTTATGTTAACAATTTTTAGCCTCGATGGGCTTACATTCTCTCTCCAGAATTTTTTCTATATAATTTCTTCAGGCACAATGACCACTCTTGTTTTCCCTAAATTTTCTCTCCACATCCCCTTTCTCTTTCTAGTCCAATTTATTTTATTTTATTTTTTCTCACTTATCACAATACCAGGTGTATCGCCCATCAATCTCTCTATAACCACGTGCATGGTCAAATCCTGAACTAGTGTTCGAAAAATCAAACCATCCTCATAAACTGGCCAAGGAAAAATCAAACCAGCCTCATAAACTGGCCAAGGGCCGATATCAAGTAATCGGTAAACTGACAAGTTCTGACGCGTAAAAAAAGTGTTAAAATAAATAAAATATATAAAAATCTAAAAAATATGAAAAATATATTTAAAATATGATTAAACAAAATACATCCAATCAAATTGAAAATAGTAAAAAAATTTATTTTAAAAAATCGATTTGTGCTCAAAGCTATTTTTGAAAATTTTCATACAAGATGGAAAAAATGTAAAATTAAGTATTAATGAGCAAAAACATTTTCCGATTTTTACCAGAATGATAAAAAACAACAAAAAACGCATTACTCCCCCCAAATGGAAAAAACGGCTACGAAACACTAGTTACAAATATAATACAAAGTTCGAGATATCTTTCTAACATTAAGTCTAATCAACAACACACTCGCAATCACTCAATTCAAAATCTGAGATAAATGCGACATTGTAATCTCTATATATCTCTATATACGAAGTCACAATTACCACCAACCACTAGATATCATATTGGATTGGCTTAAAATGTCATAAAGTTCAACCAAGTTTTTCTAAACTTTGACCGTTAGTTAGGGGTAGCAATAAACTTGACAAACCTGGGACCCGATCTCGGGTCTTGGTATGATTTCAAATTTTGGACCAGAAAAACAAAAAAGGAGTAGACAAGATAAAAAGCTCATATAGTCACAAATTGCAATGGATCCGACCCAATCCAACCCAACCTAAGACTTGCTAGGTAGACCCGAGACCCAAACGGTATGAGTAGATTCAATTTTTGGACCAAATACTATTCAGGTTCCGATCCGGGTTTAACCATACCCGTACCCGTTGCCAACCCTACCTTTAGTGCACGCCATGTGGACCCAACTTACCCCCGCACAAAAAAAGATGGTAAACGATAAAAGTCAGAAAAAATTTGCTCCCTCACTCCCTTGTCAAATCTTTCCACAGAAAAAGAATAAAGACCATAAAAGTGAGATAATCTGCCCACTACCTTGTCATATATATATCACCAAATAAAAAGACGAGAAAATGTGTAAAAATCCATTCCAAGAGAAATTAATCCAACACTATGCCTAAACCAAGATTGGAAGAAAAAAATAATAATAACAGTGTCTAAATTCTAAACAATAAAAAGTCCATTTTCTATACAAGCATGGAAACAACGCGTCACACTGATAAATTAGATACAATACATCCCTCTCTGTCTACTACCTAAGAAATTACTGCTCGACAAAAGCCAGTGGACCATCAGCCTGCGACAAGGTGTCAGAAACCAGTTGGCAGCGCGCATTTACCAAACTCTGCAAAACCCAATGGACGAGGACCAACCATTATTAATTAATCACTCAGTAAAAATAAATGTGAAAGCCCTAGGGCATAGAAGTTCTATTTTCTCCTTACATAACCGTCCATTTTTTAATGGACGGCTAAATTTGCCCGACTCACTTCTCTACTCCGTTTTATTTTTAATTTATTTTATAAACTGTTTTGTCACTTTGGAAAAAATATATATATATATATATTTAATAAAATAAAATAACGAAAATACTTTTAAAAATTTCAAGAGATATTTTGGTCATTATTTTTTATAAAAAAATTATTATTAATATTTTTTTACAGGCGTACCCTAATAAAAAATTAACACATTCAAAATTTCATATTAAAAAAAAATTTATTAAAAAAATTAAAAATAAAATACTTTGAGACATCGAATCTAAAAACAAACATGGCACTCTTGATAAAAAAATGTAGAGCTAAGTGATAGGGGGAACGTATAACTTCTATAGAACTTCTATGCACTTTTCTACAATACTTCTGTGTTGTAGGGAGAACAAAGCTTTCCCAAAATAAATAGCCCCATGAAGTCACCAAAAAGAACAATCGTTCCATGCGGGTTGGACAACCCGCATTTCTACACTATGCCGTTAATTGTAGCCAACGGTTCAAATGTTTTCTAATATAATTATTATTTTTAGCTTTCAATTTTTTTTTTTTCATATTTATGTTAAAGATTATAAAGATTAGGTTTGCATGCGGTCAGACCGCATTATTGTGGAACAGCGGGCTTGGCAATAATAAATGAACAAACTTGGCGAGTCCAAGTTATTCAGCCCGAGTTGGGCTGAGCCCCGGCTAGTTGAAGAAGCGTTGAGCTAAAAAATAGTAAAAAAACATATTCTGAAAAAATTTAACAATATTTTAGAAAGAGTAAAGATCCTATAATCTAAAAAGAAGAAAAAACTGTAAAAACAAGTATTCATGGCCAAATCACTCTCTAATACTTACCAATATGATAGCAAATATGAAAAAATTATTACAATGTAATTTTGTATTTTTAGAATTTTTATAATTTTTTAAAATATTTTATACCCTCAAGTCGGGCCACCCAACTTGTGGATACTCAAACTTAGCAATGCGGTGAGCCCGAGTTACTCGATATGAGTCCAAGTTGGCTCGTCGGAGTTTATAGATACCTGATTTGGATGGAAATCGGTTAGAATGGTTTTGAAAATTTTAATGGGTCGGCCTTGTACCTTAAAAAAAAAAAAACTTTATATATTTTCTCCCTTCTCTTTAAGCGTGTGATGGTCTTCCAAGCCCCCATAAATCTTTATTTTAATTTTTATTTTTTTAAAATTCCTGATTCGAACAGATCTAAACCGTCTAAATCACGTATTCAACAATCCAATATAGATCTGTGGATGCCACAAATGGAGAGTTTTAAAACACCGAACAAGAGAGAAAAAGCAATGGAAAAGGGCATTGAAACATACTCGGAAGCTGGGACACTACATAGGCAGCACCATGAAAATCACAGGTGCCGGTGGTGCGGGCGTTCTTCTGGTAATAACTATTGAAGGCGAAGGATGCATGCGCTTTGAGCGTGTCGGGGTCGTAGCAGGAAGCCCCCGGCTGGATCTCCTTGCAGTCAGCACCACCCTCCCCACAGGCATAATCAAGGGCCGCCTGCAACTGATCCTCGCTCGCCTCCTCGCTAGCAACGCACCAGCTCTGCCCCCCAGCGGCGCTACCAACGTCCACCGGAGGGCTCGACCCCTTGTGATCATCGCCGGACTTCGCCATGAGTAAAGGCACATTGTAGACCTTTTCCTCGTCCGGAAAGAAGAGACCGTAGTTGCGCTCGGAGGTGGGGCCGTTCTTCTTGTTTTCGTTGAAGAGGGCAAAGAGATAGACTTCGAGTGGCGTTTGTGGGCGGAGGGGGGTGCCTTTGCCGGACAAAACCCGGCGCACCAGGTTGCTGTTGTAGGCCGCAGCGTTGGCGAGGGAGGCGCCTGTTTCGTTTTCGTCGCCCTTCGACGGCCAACCTGTCTCGGTCACAACGGTGCGCACGTCTCCATACTTCAATGCTGCCATGGCAGCATTCACAGCATCCAGCTGCGCATCCAACAGGTTGGTGTACTGGAGCCCGCTCCCGGAATCCACCACTCCGGCGTTGGGCTTAAACAGAGCATAGTCCAACGATATCACATCTGCATTGTCTTTGTAAGCGAAAAACGGGTAGGCGTTCACCATGAGGTACGAACCCGTCTGCCTGAGAAACTCCAGCATCGGCTTCATCACCACCTCGGCCAAATCCTGCTTGAAAACCCCAGCCGAGCTCGGGTACGATGTTTGCAGTGCGCTCAGAGCAATCGGCGACGAAACCTTCACCTTGTCATCGATCTTATACATAACCAGGGCAGAGTGAACATTCTGCATTGCCGTGATGAGGTATCGAGTGGTATTGTGGGGGTCGACGAACACCTCATTGCCGACGGCAATGGTGGTGATCTTTGTGTTGGGGAGGTACTTGGCAACATTCTTCGAGACCCACTCCTCTGCCGCAGACTGGCGGCGGGCAGTGGCAAAGAGCTGCTCGTTGGGGAGGCCAATGACGACGGAGATGCCGGAGCCGCTGAGGGCTTGTAGGACAGCAGGGTCAGAGTCGTAGATCTTCACCTTGTCAATGCCTTGTTTCTTGAGGAGGGTGACGACCTTAACAGCGGAGGGAAGGTTGTTGGCCACTCGACCGTAGTTTATGCCTACAGAGCCACCTGCTGCCACTGTAGAAAGCAATCAACTTGAGATTTTAGTACATGAAAAGGGCAAAGAGAGTGATGGAGGACGGGGTTAAGTGCTCAGAAAAAAACTCAATCAAAAGTTGCAGTATTGAGCACCATATCTAGAGAGAGAGCAACCAAATGTTACTCAAGTGTGTAGCGTGTGCAGAGAGAGATAGCAACCAAATAAAAAGTCCATGACTGTAATGCGAACAAACAGAGTACAAAAGAGGGCTAGAATCCTTGTTCCAGTCCGAAGCGGGCATGGAGAGAGAGAACACGAACCTGCAGAAAGCATGAAGCCGGAAACGAAGCAAAGCTCGAAGAGCAACCGGAAAAGCCCCTGACACTCCATCTTCTCCATTAATGGCAGCAGCAAAACCAGACCCGAGTCACACAAAGATCACCACCTTATATAATGGGCAGAAACCATCAGGGTCTTCGCACCTGCAAACTACTCTTGAGAGAGAAAGAGAAAGGGAGATTAAAAAAAGGAAAAGAAATATCTTTTTTGCTTTTAGGTTAGATCAGGAGCGCAGAGTAGGAGGAATCAGAGTCCCGTTTCTGGCTTAAAAAGAGTTTGAAAAAACACTGTATTTTGGGGGGTGGGGAAGGTCGGGTTGGTAATACTAAGGCTGAAATTAATTATTTATTTATTGCGAGGAAATTACAGAAGATGTGAAAAATTGGAAAAGCGTGTAGGTTTTGAAATGCGATAATAATTGCCTCGTTGGTTGCGAGGGAAGCAGGTGAAGATAGATAGAAAGGGCGGGACCCACGAGGACGTGGTAACAACATGCGGCACTGCGAAGCTTACTGCGCGCCATTTCAGGTGGCCCACGTCCCCACAACTGTCCTCTCTCTTCTCGACCGTTGCCGTGTGATTATTGTCTATGGGATTTGTCGACAATTATTATTTCCATAAAAGACAAAACTGAAAATTTATAAAAATTTGTTTATTTTTTTTAATATAGAAATAATTCTTTATATTTCACAAAATATAGGGAAAATTAAGTATATATCTATTATTGTCTAAAGATAAATAATTCTATCGAACTATCTCCGTGTAGGATCAACATTAAAGTTGACACAAATTTTTAGAAAAGACAAATTTTACATTTATATGATAATTTTTTTAGAGATTTATGTTAACTTTAATGGTGATCATTTAAGATCTTACACATATAGGGAGAGGAGGGTCCTATAAAATCATTATTCTTGTCAATATACCAATTTTTTTTTTATTACTAAAATGTTCAGTTTTTTTCACTTCATAACAATTTTTTAAAAAAAAACAGACTTTTTTATGTTTTTTTGGTTTTTGACAACCAAAAATAGATAGAAGCTTAAGTTTCTTTTATTACTGGAATATTCGTTTTTTTTCACTTTATAACAAAATTTTTGTTTAAAAAAGACTTTTTTATTTTTTTTTGTTGTTGACAATCGAAAATAGGTAGAAGCTTGGAATTTGCATTTTTATTTTTAGTTGTTGAACGATCGAAAATATGACTGCGTATTCCAGCAAGCTTTTGGAATACGCGAATTTTATTTTCGGTTGTTCAACATCTGAAAATATCCTATTTTTGTTGTTGAACGACTGAAAATAAGACAAAAGCTTGGAATTTACATTCTTATTTTTTGTTGTTAACAACTAAAAAATGTCATATTTTCAGTTGTTTAACAACCGAAAATGTATTTTTGGTTGTTCAATAACCAAAATTAGCTTATTTTCGGTTTTTGAACAACCGAAAATCCAACCGTTTAGGTTGTTCAAAAACTAAAAAAAGGATAAAAAAATCTTTTTTAAAAATTTAGGTTATGAAGCGACAAAAAGGATATTCTAATAATAACATAAACTATTTGGTATTTTGGTAATGACGAAAACTATGACAGATATATACATAATTAATTTTAAAATATAAAATAGAGAAGATCATTTTGAAAAATAAAATAAGATTTGCGGTTAACTCCTGATATTTTATTCTTTGGTCGCTCCTAAAAAAACTTCATGATGATCAATCTTAAATACAAGATATAAAAAAAAACGAAACAAAAAGAAAAGTGCGATGGTATACAATGAGAACATTTTCCAAAGTATACACTTTCCAAAAAGAGAGAGGTAAAAAATGCATTTCGTATAAAAGCGTACCGAAAATGGTGAAAAAGTAGCATGAAAATATTCAACTAACATAATCCTATATCAGATGATTTGATGTACACGCTTTAAGGAATTTGTCTTGGGTGAGTGGTTAGCCGTTGACGATCAAGCTAACTTATATTTCAAATTTAATTTCTATATCTCAAAATATTTAATGGAAAAAGTTTATATAAGGTTGCAACCTTAAAATGTAGAATTACATATGCATCTCAAAAATCCATCGGAAAATGTTGTTTTAATATTGAAAGGCCCTCGCCCTCTAATTGATCATCTCGTCATCGAGATGTATGACTATATAAAAAAAAAGATTTTAAATTCTAAATATAGTGCATCTTGCAACACATTATCTAAACCGTCTATTTTCAAGATTTTCACATGTTTATAGATCTACATGATTTTAATCATTTTTGAAGTTTAAAATTTTATAATTAGATATAAAAATATATTTTTAGATAATCCTAATAATGTTTTACCCCAAAATTACATGTTATGATAAAGTTTGGAGGTACGCCTTAATTGGATTGTTTAAGGTTGCAACCCTATAGAAACCACACCTATATTTCTATATTTAAAATTTATAATTTAAATTTTTATTTTAAATTTTCAGCTGATCCCAAAAAAAATGAGATGCAAGAGATATCCCAAGCTCATTTACTTGCAAGGGCATTTACATACTCTTCTCCTTCAAGGTATAAAACATAGACACGCGTGTCCAAGAATTTGGCCACATGTCGGCCGTTGCGAACTCGGCCACGAGTGTCGACATTCTTGGATTGAAAATGGTGTTTCTTTCATTTTCAACACCTTTATTAAGTGTCAACTATCGTATCCTTTTTTTTTAGACATATTTCCTTGATTGAAAATGATGTATCTTTGTTTATAAATTTTCTTTTTCATTGTAAAGTATTTTATTTTAAAAATAAAAAGTGTTTTAGTATAAAATAAGTAATTTATAATTAAAAATAGCAAATATTTTTATTTGTTAAATTAGGTTTTCCATAAATCATTGTTACTACAAATAAAAAATACAAATTTATTTCAACTACCATTAAACTTTACATGATTTCTTCCTTTCGAAACCGTAAACCATTATTTTGTTCTCCAAATCCTATGGACGACTGGTTTCTCCATCTCCAAGCCATGAAGCATTCATCTATCTTCTTCAACTTTTTTGTCTTCCCTTCTCATTATACCTTGTGCCATGTAAAATCTTTATCGTTCCTTAATCAATTTTGATATTAATAGCATGATTTGTATTGTACCTTACATTGTCCTAACGATTAACTTTTACTAGCATTTTGATATTATTTTTTTAAAAAATTGTTCTTTCTTTTCATATTGTTATGATGCAACCTTGAATTGGTTTAGTATAATAAGCCCTTAAAGAAAGAGAGAGAGAGAGAGAGGGTGGGTAGAGAAAGAAAAGAGAGATAGAAAAAGGGCAGGTAGAGAGAGAGAAAGATAGAGGGTGGATAGAGAGGGAGAAAGAGATATAGAGAGAAGAGAGAGGGTGGGTAGAGAGAGAAAATGAGAGAGGGTAGGTAGATAGAACACAAAAAAATGTACTTGTGCCATAGATTTTCCCGCAGAGAGAGAGAGAGGGTAGAGAGAGGGAAATGGCATTTTAGTATCAATTTTTTTGACTTTTTTATTAAGAGGTAAATACAAGAAAAAACAACGTATGGGTCTAGGGTGTAATAATTAAAGTATTGAGAAGTAGGATGTCTACAAAGCTCATTTTGGGGTTCTCTATAATTTTCTCTAAAAACATTTGATGAGTAAAATTTAGATTCACAAAATAACATTTTTTAGACTATTAATTTATTATTTTTATTTCTTAGATGCTTTATTGTTGTTGTATAAAATAAATTATTGTATATGTAAATGCAAAAGTACACATAAGACTTTAATATGTGCTTGTATAGATATACGTATATATATAAATACTTATATATTGGACGTGTCGACCCTAGAAGTCATTTTTTCGGATCATGTTCATAATGAGACTTTTAGAGCATTTTAAGTGACATATTTATTTTCTCAATCAAATAATTAAATTATGTTATTGTGTAGTAGTATAATACAATCACACCTCAAAAAAACCATGTTTTTGGTATTTGTATAATTTTGCACACACATTCTCTTCATCCTCATAATCAATTATACGAAAATCAAATTCAATTTTCTCCCTAGATATGGTCAAAATTAGTACCCTTCTACAATAAATCTTGACTATCCATTTGATGAATTTCAAGATCTAGGCCTTAACAAATTCAAAATCACTTTTTCTTTTTTAGCATTGTTAATCTAATGATGATGATGCTACTTAAAAATTTTGGGAATTAAAGAAAAATCTTTCTGAGGTGTATATCTAACCATCTCACTGAATGATGTTGCTTCCATGGTGGTCCTCTCAGGTCATTTATTTGGATGTTCAAGTTCCAAACCGCTATAAGAAATATCCTCAATGAATCTGGAACTTCCCATTTGCAAAACTTAGAACCTCTCATTTCCAAAAATAAAGGGAAATATGGTTCAAAAAATTCTAGTTCGAACTGATTTTTTTCCTTTTTTTGGGTGAGTCAGTTGGAAGAGGGCCCCTACCCTTTGTAGAAATTGAGCTTAGAATGTAGCGTTGCAAATTGTCAAGCGATAACCAATTAAGCCTGGGTTCGAACCAACTTTTTAGTTATAAAAAATCTTGAAACTCCTAATTGTGAACCAAATAAAAAAAAGGGAACACACGAGTTCTAAACGTTGATTTCGAAATTAAGGGCATTTTGGGAAAATAAAATATCATCCAAAAAGGAATACTCGTAAATTTTAAAAAGGGTGTAGTTTGCGTAAGGTTGCAACCTTATACAATCAAAGTAGGCGCACCTCCAAACTTTATCACAATATGCAATTTTGGTGTCAAAAATTCTTAGAATGGTGCAAAATCTATTTTCATCTTTAACAACAAAATGTTAAACTCCAAAAGTGTTTCAAATCAAGCAGATCTATAAAAGTATAAAAATCATGAAATTGGATGGCCCAGATAACATGATGTATTATTTTTAGGACTTGAAAAATCTTTTTTTCTCCATATCTATATATCTTAACGTTGAGATGCTCAAATGGATATTTTTCCAACGTCAAAAACAACCATTTTCGAGGACTTTTGAGGTGCACCTTATTTCTACAGTTAAGGGTGTCAACCTTATTTAATATTTTTCTTTTAAAAATTGTGAGATATTTATTTTTATTTTTAATTTATCTAAAAGAATATATGCTACAAATCTAATTTACTAGAATTCCATCGAAATTATTATGACAATAGAATCTAGTTTACATAAAAAAAAAAAAAGGATTGGCACAAGGAGGTCACAATTACTTGTAGTAATTGGATTTAAAATCAGATGATTGGAGATGTGCCATTGGCCAAGCACAAAGTTAAAAAGAAAATTTCTTGATCATTGAAACGCATATTAAGCTTTAGAATATGACATCTGACATTGAGTGATTG